CTATAAGGACATTTTGTGTACTCCACTCTGCCAAGCCTGCTTTTATATTGTTTGCGCAATAAGGACATTTTGTGTACTCCACTCTCCCAAGCCTGCTTTTATATTGTTTGCGCAATAAGGATATTTGTGTATCCCACTCTCCCAAGCCTGCTTTTATATTGTTTGTGCTATAAGGACATTTTGTGTACTCCACTCTCCCAAGCCTGCTTTTATATTGTTTGTGCAATAAGGACATTTTGTGGACCCACTTTCCCAAGCCTGCTTTTATATTTTTTGCGCAATAAGGACATTTTGTGTACCCCACTCTCCCAAGCCTGCTTTTATATTGTTTGCGCAATAAGGACATTTTGTGTACTCCACTCTCCCAAGCCTGCTTTTATATTGTTTGTGCTATAAGGACATTTTGTGTACTCCACTCTCCCAAGCCTGCTTTTATATTGTTTGCGCAATAAGGACATTTTGTGTACCCCACTCTCCCAAGCCTGCTTTTATATTGTTTGTGCTATAAGGACATTTTGTGTACCCCACTCTCCCAAGCCTGCTTTTATATTGTTTGCGCTATAAGGACATTTTGTGTACTCCACTCTCCCAAGCCTGCTTTTATATTGTTTGCGCTATAAGGACATTTTGTGTAACCCACTTTCCCAAGCCTGCTTTTATATTGTTTGGGCTATAAGGACATTTTGTGTACTCCACTCTCCAAAGCTTGCTTTTATATTGTTTGCGCTATAAGGGCATTTTGTGTACCCCTCTCTCCCAAGCCTGCTTTTATATTGTTTGCGCAATAAGGACATTTTGTGTACTCCACTCTCCCAAGCCTGCTTTTATATTGTTTGCGCAATAAGGACATTTTGTGTACTCCACTCTCCCAAGCCTGCTTTTATATTGTTTGTGCTAAAAGGACATTTTGTGAACCCCGCTCTCCCAAGCCTGCTTTTATATTGTAATAATCACAGTTTTATGACATCAAGTCCAAGAAAGCATGTCATTGACAAATTGCCCATCACACAGGTATTAGTGATGTAGTATGATGCATAAAACTTAAAGATATTGAGTGTGTTCAGAGATCGGTCTGGACAAGTAAGGGTTAGTCAAACACCAATGTTTTGGTCCTGTGAAGATTTCGGGTTAGAATTGGTCTTCAGCAACCCATGATTGTCGTAAGAGGGATCGTGTGGTCAGGCTCGGTGACTTGGTTGATGTATGTCATCGTATCCCAGTTGTGTAGATCGATTATCATGATGTCAATCACTGGACTGTCTGTCTGGTCCATACTCGGTCCGTTATAGACTGCAGTCATATAGCAGTAATATTACTGAGTGCGGCGTTAAACAACAAAACAAAACAGTCACGAATTTGAATGCTTGTTACATGCACCAAGTACCCATCAATATTAGGTTGCACTCTTTAGCTATTTCTCACAGTGAGTATTGTAAGTGTAAAGAGAGTCTTATGTAGAGATTGATAATATTAAAGAATAAGCAAAATTGTCAGAAACATATCACTAATTAGGCCATGAAAACAACTGTCCAGTGTTCAAACAGGTTGATAATGAAGAGGGCGGTCGGGTAGCCTGGTGGTTAAAGCGTTCGCTCGTCACGCCGAAGACCCGGGTTCGATTTCCGACATGGGTACGATGTGTGAAGCCCATTTCTGGTGTCCCCCGCCGTGATATTGCTGGAATATTGCTAAAAGCGGCGTAAAATCATACTCACTCACTAACTGATCATGAAGATGGTGATTGTGGAGATTTTACGAGCGCTTCTATAGGACCAGCTTTAGCATTCAGGCATCCGGGCCAGCCTGTCAGTCAGGGTCACTGAGACTGACTTATCTGAGATTTCCATCCACATAGCTACCTAGCTAGAAGTGATACAAAGATATTTTCAGAGACAGATGAATGTTGATAAAACATTTCTTTCTTCTGAAACGTTTATTTTCTTAACATATTTTTTGATGTTGTGAGCACCTGTATTCGGTAATTACCTTAAGTTCGAGTCTTGACAGAAACAACACTAGTTTTCCATGCTGAAAGTTTATTATTTTCGACCAAGGAGAGTTGAACGAAACAGAGTGATGTCCCTTCTGTAAACTGAATGAAGCAGCTGAAAAATCTCCAGTTAGTGTCACGTATAAACACAACTCCATCCCACAACAAACCCGTATATTATACTACTGCAGGGTACGCGACCGCGTCGTACGATTTGAAGACGTCTACGGCGACACAAGACGATATGGTATGAAATTAACTATTTGAATATTGTCATATATATCCTTGTTCAGGGCTTTATATTTTCTATAATCACCATCGGCATGTATTTACAACCTACAGGCGATTGATAAAATACTAGTTTAGGACCCAGGGAAAATGGGATCACGAACTGCAGACGAATATCCCCACCGATAAATGGAAACGTATACAACGAACAACGTATATAGCATACTGATGTCTCCGGTCTCGTGTAGTTCATTATATCCATGTTCTACTGTACTTGTAAAGATGGCTTCGTTTTCAACCAGGAGAATATACTTCTTGGCTTCCCGGAATGGAATAATGACCCTTTAAATAAAATAGTTATATTTGTAAAACATTTACGAAAATAAACAGCAATGACTGCAAACTTTCCCAAATATTCAACTGTCAGAATACTGCAATCTAACTAAGTGTGCAGCGTCCATGACCAGCAATATTGATTTTACAAATTCTGATCAACATGTGGTTCTTTTAATTGTGAGAATGATCTAAAAATGAAAAAAAATGTAAAAGGAAATTTTTTTTTACATATCCTGCATTTAAAACAGACATATGTAGATAGAATACCATCACACAAATCGCAATGCCAAAAATGCATAACCTATTCATCGCTAATTGAATCGGAATATTAAGATCGCCGTCAATTTGTTTGTATTTGTTTATTCATGTAGATACATTATAGATATAACCAAGGCGTCGATATGTTACAGTCAATGTGAAGTGAGTTCCTCGCAGCAGTCATCACAGAACTGATCCACTAATTCTCGTCATCCACAAAGTCAAGGGTCAGATGAGCGTCTGAACTGTGACGTCAAGGACACGTTGTTTGCGTGACAGCGACTCGACAGACTCGGCAAAAGCAATCAAACGTGTTACTGTCAAATAATATGAGTCCAATGGACTCCTCCACTCATCATCTGTACACTGTTTATGTATGGGGACACGGGTGGGTCAGTCGTCTAAGCCGCCGCGATTCGCTGTGCAGAAACCTTGGCACGCCAGAAACCTATGATTGTGGGTTCGAATCCCGGTTCGCCCCGATTATGTTTATAGGTTTGTCAGCACCATATCCGTGCTCGTTGGTTTCGTCGAAGTGGTAAACGTCGGAGACCTGCATCACTTCGGGCTTTCCTCCCACATTAAGCTGACACACCGTGATATAACTGGAATACTGTTAAAAGCGGCGTGAAACCCAACTCACTCAATGTTCATGTATACACGAAGGATGTCTAAATGAGTGATGTTGTAGTTATTTATATTATTTGTTCATATATTTGTTTTTCACAACAATCACATACCCGTGAATATCCGGGTTAGTATTGGTCTTCAGCAACTGTAATCAGTCGACTGAGTGTCCCTTAGCACCATCAGGAGTCGACTGAAGTAAGGGCCAGAAGACCAATAAGACGTCCACTGCTCTCACCCCAACATACGTGGAACCGATTAGTCTGGTGTCAGGCTCGAAATACTGGAACTTGAAGGCATGGAGTAGTCGTCATTGATCTGACGAGTGTCGGTTTTTATTGCACCATACTGATGGTAGGACGTGTGTGTGAAGGCGAAGGGTAACATATTATCCGCGCAACATCCAGGAAACAGTAGTTGGTTGGTTGGTTGGTTGTTTAACGCCACACTCCGCAATATTCCAGCTATATGACGGCGGTCTGTAAATAATCGAGTCTGGACCAGACAATCCAGAGACTGACATCATGAGCATCGATCCACGCAATTGGGATCGATGACATGCATCAACCAACTCAGCGAGACTGACGACCCGATCCCGTTAGTCGCCTTTTACGACAAGCATATTCGCCTTTTACGGCAAGCATGGGTTGCTGAAGACCTATTCTAACACGGATCTTCACGGGTCCAGGAAACAGTAGAATGTGGTGGCGCCTTAGGGATGTTATGTGGATGGTGCTCTCTTGAATGTAAACTTTATTTGGCCATAACGCCATTGAGACTCTGCCTTGGCCTTCTCGAAGCCCAGACCTGAATCCGATCGAGCATCAATGGGATCAGTTGGGGGGTATGGTTAGAGCCAGGGAACCCCCAGTACAGAATCTCGAAGAATTGACTCAGGCATTGTATTAGGAATGGCAACACATTCCTCAGGTGGGGATCAAGCGTCTGATTTTGAGCAGGAGGAGACATTCCTGACAGTTACCATACTTTTACTGCCAATTACCCCAATTACCATTTGTGGCAGGAAGATCGTGTTCTGTTATATACACTTCGTATATCTCACCATCAAGATTTTTTGTTAATTACAAAAGAGATGGGCAAGGAGAGTGAGTGAGTGAGTATTGTTTTATGCCGCTTTTAGCAATATTTCAGCAATATCACGGCTGTGGAAACCAGAAATGGGCTTCACACATTGTACCCATGTCGGGAATCGAACCCGGGCCCTCGGCGTGACGAACGAACGCTTTAACCACTAGGCTACCCGACCGCCCCTGGACAAGGAGAAGCTAGAAACAATCATAAGTGTTACTGTCAAATAAGATGTTAACTTTTTAAATAATAGGTAAAAGAACATTTGCAAAGAAAGAAAACAACTTTATTCGACAACAATGACTGTAATTGAAGTAATTGGCAGTATAAGTATACACTGTTGCCATAGTTGCCACACTCATTAGCCAACCAAGTTGAACTTGTGTTGAATGCATGTCCATAAGTTTTATCAATGACCACAAAGTGGCGTTTATACAGTTTTAGGCTGGCAGTGAATGAAATAAATGTAATGTTTCTCTCACAATTTCTTTATTAACAACTCATAAATATTTAACTGCTCCCAAGGTAAAGACGATACTGGGTATACAGTCAATGTTTTGTACATAAGAATGACTACTGATGAGTCAGAACAGAACTTGGGGAAGGTCAGTAGTAATGTTGGTGTTCCTCTCTGTATTCACTGCAGATGTCCATCTTTGTTGAACTCAGTAATGAACTGATACTGCAAGGTAGGTGACACAACTTTGTTGATTTATCTCCCACATACGAGACACCTTGGTTGTTATCGGGATTTATCTCCCACATACAACGATACACATAGGTTGTTATCGGGATTTATCTCCCACATACAACGGTACACCTAGGTTGTTATCGAGATTTATCTCCCACATACAACGATACACCTAGGTTGTTATCGGGATTTATCTCCCATATACAACGATACACCTAGATTGTTATTGGGATTTATCTCCCACATACAACGATACACCTAGGTTGTTGTCGGGATTTATCTCCCACATACAACGATACACCTAGGTTTTTATCGGGATTTATCTCCCATATACAACGGTACACCTAAGTTGTTATCGGGATTTATCTCCCACATACAAAGATACACCTAAGTTGTTATCGGAATTTATCTCCCACATACAAAGATACACATAGGTTGTTATCGGGATTTATCTCCCACATACAACGATACACCTAAGTTGTTATCGGGATTTATCTCCCACATACAACGATAGTCCCAAGTTGTTTACGGGACTTGACGAAGAATACGCCATTAACAGCATACTCAGTGAACGAGTCCTTTACATATTACGACTTAGTGTTGCGGCGTATCGACGCTCGGTCTGGGTACATCAAGGGCTTACATCATGCATGGAATAACTCGGGAAACAAGACATGATGCTGAAAGACACTCTCCATGGAACACATTTTACAAACGTGACATCACGTTCTGATGGTAGACGGACTTTGTACAGCTGATTGTACATGGCAAAGAAGGCAACTGATCTGATTGATCCAGTAAGAAATATCACAGTCTCCATGCTGGTACAATGATATTGACTGGAAAACAACGAGACGGCTGTAATAAGCACAAGTATAAACGAAATATAACGAGGAAAAACACCGTTATGACATCGCATTTCGTTGCTCTTGTAAATACTGGCACATAAAAAATCATGTATAATCTTAAATCAGATTACTGAATAAATATAAGTTGTGTGTATACATATAGTCGCCAACATCTGACGCGGCTGAATAGTTTTCCCAAAATCAGTAAAGTATGAAAACCCATCACCTATTTCCCACAATACACTACAGGATCCTTCAGACTGAAACAATGGTGACACCTAAAATTATTCGTTCTTCTGTTTATAAGACTAATAGGAATCGGTTTGTGCGAACAAGTATTTGAATACAGTAATTAGAGTGTGCTCTCTGCTGAAACTCTTCAAAGTCAACAAAAACAGACTACAACAATAACAAATGTTCTCGTACAAATCCCCTGCTCATGAGGCGAGCAGGTTCACATAATATGCACTTTTCCGTAGAAATGAGGTGTGAATAAGACTGGTATGTCTGGAAGCATAAAACCCGACACAACTATAATAGATACGAGTGAGTGAACGCATACTACAGAGCCTTCATAAAGCACCAACAACTATGGTTCATGCACTTTCTTGTGCATAAACGTCCTTATTATATATATTATGGTATCTGTCTTCCAATGTTTCAAGAGATTTGTTTTCCGAATTCTTTCTTACTACAAATGGAAATCTGTCTTGGAGAAGATAACAGGGGACCCTTGCTCTACAATAAGAAGGTACATCTGTTTCCATTCTGTGGTCATACGAGTTTGAAACACACATATCGATGTCATAGGTTGTTTTTAAGAAATCTCGCGTCTTCCTTGGAGCTGGGAGCATCATACCCATGAAGGGCCTTGTGGTCAGCGGAAATACAACACTTTTGTTAAATTTCTTTTTGGCTTCTCTGGCATCTTGAATATATGTGGGATATTCCACATAGAAGAATATGTCCACGAAGGGCCAGTTCCATGGTTTTTTGGCGGCTTTGGGGGAGTTTTTATGATAGAACTTCCACGTGGTGTTCCACCCAGTGTAATGCTCGTATTCTGGAGGGAGAGACTGCAGTGATTTCAGAAGTGCCGGCCTGTCGTTGTTGCTGACGATGATGTCCATGTCGTCGTCCCAAGGAATCAGTCCATGGTGAGAGTAGGATCCAAGTAGCGCCCCCGCGTACATGAAATATGTAACATTCTTCGACACCTTTTCGCTAAAGATTTTCATTAGATCCCTAAACTTATCCTTTTCTTCTTCTGATATCCTTTCAAAAAATAGCGCCTTCGCTCGCCGGATATTTAAATCCTTGCTGTCAGGGTGCCCCCGTGGTACATAACCGTAACTCCCTGAGTGACCTCCCCTGGCAATGCAGCTCGTTAGCATGTCACGTGTCATGTAGGCGTAGAGGAAGTATGTACTACAACAGAAGGTCAAGGTCACACACACTAACATGCCCTTTTTGGACGGCATACTTTAATCACTGTTTTCAATATCGTGTTGCACTGAAGGTCATACGGCTCTGTTGTTGCATTCCATGTCCTCTGGTTTCTGTATTCTATATCTGACGCCCTGACAAACAGAAAGTAAATGATGATGTGTGTTGTAAGTAAGACAGTATTCTTGACTTGGATGCATGTCGTGCACAAAATATTATGCATATCAATCTATTTACAATATCACAGAAACAATGGTTGTTTAACACACGGTACCTTTAACAGCTTCTAGATCAGTCCTAAACACGGGCCCAGGTGTCAAATATTTCAGTTTCTGGGACAAAACATCAAATAGGAGATCAACATTATTGTTGATAATTTGTCCTGAGAAAATACTTAACATCGAGACGTATGTTTTGCAGTGAATTTTCAAATTATGTTCTGTGCTTCTCATCAAAGTAGAAGGTTTTAAACGATTGAAGCATACCATCCTATAGCTGAGTGTAGAATAAAATCTCAAAGAGTGTTTAATAACATAGATTTTATAACATGAATAAGGACAAATACACTATGGTCTAGGGCTGGGACGAGTCCAAATTTACTACCCGGGTACCCGCTGTTGGTGTCAAGAGATAGGTACAAAATGTCCAATTGGGAATAGTTTTACAGTAGCCCTGGCATAATATATTTAGATACACGTAAACGATGTGGTCATGCATACACTGAGGTTGACTGACGTTTAAGCTTTGTTCAAACATATATAAATCAGAAGGAACGTGTTGATAGTCATGAAGAAATGTTAACATTAGAGACTTAAAATTGTCGTGTAACCATGCAGTTATAAAGTGAATTTTTGTCATGAAACAATATATCACGTGACTAACCACGGGTCCGGGTAGTCCTGTGGGTACCCGGGTCCTACTCAGTATCCACCCGACCCGAGTACCCGAGTTGCCCGTCCCAGCCCTACTATGGACGAACCTGTACACCAGAACACCCAGCGAGTAACTATAACCAAACAGTTGTTTTTAAGGCGACACCCTGCAATGTGATGAGGATTCAGCTAGCAACACGCACCTCGTGATATTGGACTTCAAATTGGGAAATATGATCGCTCTTGTACCAATTGAAACTAGCAAAATTTACGTTTCGTTTGTTTACGTATTATGTGTGTACATACTGGTTGGTAGATTAACGATTTAAGAATACATATTTATCCATGGTTAGAGGTTAACTTGACGTTTCAAGATCTGGTATCAGGTGTCACTTTAATGCTAACGCTATGAGATCAGAGGATCAAGTTAAGGGATTGAGTCACACAGCTGTGTTCAGTTTAGGGTAGGGCACTAAACGTAGTGATCACACCAGCACTTGAACATGTCACCAACGTGAAGTCGTGTAGCTTGGTAACAGTCTCTTGGAGTGTGTATCGCCAGATGCCTCTTAAATCACAATACAGCAAGATAATAAAATCGTAATTGTACCCGCGACCAAAATCACACGATCATAAATTAAAGGATCCACTCGTATAAGGCTTTGCCTGATATATACCTGCTGGGGAGGGGTAAGGGGGTGGGGTGGGATGGGTGGGGGGTTTGTGTAGGGGGTGCACATACCTGCTGGGGTAGAGGGAATGTAATACCCACCCTGAAAGGAGGGATGTATTTCCTGCTTGAGATAGGGAGATTACATTTGTATATGAAGGGGGTGGAGAAATATAAATTTATAGGCTGGTGGAAGACAGAGGAATATATCTCTTGAAGGAGGAAATGTAATTTACCACCAATTTGGGGAAGAGTGAGAAATATACCTGCTGGGAAAGGAGGGATGTATATCCGGCTTGAGATGAGGGTAATATACCTACTGGGGAAATATACCTACTGGGAGATATACCTACTGGAGGATATATCTGCTGTGGGGAATATACCTACTGGGGGAATATACCTACTGGGGAATATACCTATTTGGGAATATATCTATTGGAGGATATACTCACGGGACAATATACCCACTAGGTGAAAAAACTACTGGGGGGTATACGCACTGGGGAAATATACCTACAGGGTGAAATAACTACTGGAGAATATATCTGCTGTGGGGAATATACCTACTGGGTGAAAAACCTACTAGGGGATATACCTACTGAGGAAATATACCTACAGGGTGAATATACCTACTGGAGGATATATCTTCTGTGGGGAATATACCTACTGGGGGAATATACCTACTGGGGGAATATACCTGCTGGGGAAATATACTTACTGGGGAATATACCAACTGGGTGATATACCCACTGTTGAGACAGTGTGATGTCTGCGACCATTGGGTTCGCACTATGAAAGAATCAAATACAGACAATCTAAAGATCAGCGCATTCGCAGACTGTGATGGAGTAGGGGGTGGGTGACGACCAACCCGTGTGGAATCAATTCAACACATTACCCAGGACTACCAACCACGCCACTGGCATTCTAGGTTTAAAAAGTAATGTAAATTATGTATGTTGATTGATGAAATTTAGAAATATGAAAATGTAAATAATAAATGAAAAAGAAAACGTACATCTGTATGCGAGCATAGCCGGAGTATACCATACCTGCTGGGGAGACTGAGCACTGATGTCACTGTTATCCTGTTATCTCCGATGTCACTGTTATCCTGTTATCCTCCCCGATGTCACTGTTATCCTGTTATCTCCGATGTCACTGTTATCCTGTTATCCTCCCCGATGTCACTGTTATCCTGTTATGTCCGATGTCACTGTTATCCTGTTATCTCCGATGTCACTGTTATCCTGTTATGTCCGATGTCACTGTTATCCTGTTATCTCAGATGCCACTGTTATCCTGTTATCTCAGATGTCACTGTTATCCTGTTATCTCAGATGTCACTGTTATCCTGTTATCTCCGATGTCACTGTTATCCTGTTATCTCCGATGTCACTGTTATCCTGTTATCCTCCCCGATGTCACTGTTATCCTGTTATCTCCGATGTCACTGTTATCCTGTTATCTCCGATGTCACTGTTATCCTGTTATCTCCGATGTCACTGTTATCCTGTTATCTCCGATGTCACTGTTATCCTGTTATCCTCCCCGATGTCACTGTTATCCTGTTATCTCAGATGTCACTGTTATCCTGGTATCTCCGATGTCACTGTTATCCTGTTATCTCAGATGTCACTGTTATCCTGTTATATCAGATGTCACTGTTATCCTGTTATCTCCGATGTCACTGTTATCCTGTTATCTCCGATGTCACTGTTATCCAGTTATCTCCGATGTCACTGTTATCACTGTTATCCGAGCAAGGGCTGTTGGTGCTATTTCACGGCCCTGTCAACTGAAGAAGATCATAGAGTTGTATATTTCGCAGAAAGCACAGACAGTGTCCTAACATACGGAACACCTTACACATCTTTAATATACCCTCACGACACGTTTCAGAAGGATCTAAAAGTGATGACAAGTTCACGAAGGATAGGTTGCATGAGAAGTAAATGTTTACCACTGACTGTGTTTATGTTTCAAACAACTTGACAATTTGTATCACCCGTAAGCCTAAGTTAAAAGAAATAATTTCCATTACAAAAATATCTCAAAGCGCCCATAAACGAGTGTTCAGACATTAAGAGCACATGTATGGTAAGGGCAATTCATAATTGTAAGAGCTTGTTATTTATAAGCGGTCAGTTTTAGGACGAATTACTAAAATATCGTTCTGTCTTATTCAGTATGCAAGTTTGTACAGAGAACGTATTTCCAGCAATGGCCAGCTGGGTTGAGATGCTGAGGCTTGCAGACAGATGCACTGACTATAGCATGATCTAATCCCATGACAGAGTGACTACTCCGAGTTGGGCCCAAGACCCTGCTGCTTCCAAACTCAGCCGTTTCATCGTAAAAGCAAATACGTCGTTATTGATCCGACGTAGAATCAGGTTGCCAGGCAACGCTCGATATCCCCACTCTCAGCCACGTCACGCAAGACCTTTGTCTGAATTATCCGAACTGACAATTTTATGCCTGTTACAATACGCCAAATCAATACTACTAAGGAGCTTGTGCTTGCAATTCTCCCAATCCCAGATTTTCAGCGATTATGATCCTTCGTTTGTCAGCACCGTGCTCTTTGGTGCTCTTTGAAAGTGGTAAACGACCAAGGTCTGCATTGATTTAGACATTTGCCACCCGTGGACTGAATTTGAGAAAAAAGATCCCGCTTATGTAATACATTGGCTTAGTATTACCTGACACTGACGGTCCTGTTTATATAGCATCACCACATACAGGCGGTCTTACTTATATAGCATCACCACATACAGGCGGTCTTATAGAGCATCACCACATACAGGCGGTCTTACTTATATAGCATCACCACATACAGGCGGTCTTATATAGCATCACCACATACAGGCGGTCTTACTTATATACCATCACCACATACAGGCGGTCTTACTTATATAGCATCACCACATACAGGCGGTCTTACTAATATACCATCACCACATACAGGCGGTCTTACTTACATACCATCACGACATACAGGCGGTCTTACTTATATACCATCACCACATACAGGCGGTCTTACTTATATACCATCACCACATACAGGCGGTCTTATATAGCATCACCAAATACAGGCGGTCTAACTTACATACCATCACCACATACAGGCGGTCTTACTTATATACCATCACCACATACAGGCGGTCTTACTTATATACCATCACCACAAACAGGCGGTCTTACTTATATACCATCACCACATACAGGCAGTCTTATAGAGCATCACCAGATACAGGCGGTCTTACTTATTTACTATCACCACATACAGGCGGTCTTATATAGCATCACCAAATTGAGGCGGTCTTACTTATATACCATCACGACATACAGGCAGTCTTATAGAGCATCACCCGATACAGGCGGTCTTACTTATATACCATCACCACATACAGGCGGTCTTATAGAGCATCACCCCATACAGGCGGTCTTACTTATAGCATCACCACATACAGGCGGTCTTACTTATATACCATCACCACATACAGGCGGTCTTACTTATATACCATCACCACATACAGGCGGTCTTATAGAGCATCACCAGATACAGGCGGTCTTACTTAAAAACCATCACCACATACAGGCGGTCTTATATAGCATCACCAAATTGAGGCGGTCTTACTTATATGTCATCACGACATACAGGCAGTCTTATAGAGCATCACCCGATACAGGCGGTCTTACTTATATACCATCACCACGTCACGCAAGACCTTTGTCTGAATTATCCGAACTGACAATTTTATGCCTGTTACAATACGCCAAATCAATACTACTAAGGAGCTTGTGCTTGCAATTCTCCCAATCCCAGATTTTCAGCGATTATGATCCTTCGTTTGTCAGCACCGTGCTCTTTGGTGCTCTTTGAAAGTGGTAAACGACCAAGGTCTGCATTGATTTAGACATTTGCCACCCGTGGACTGAATTTGAGATAAAAGATCCCGCTTATGTAATACATTGGCTTAGTATTACCTGGCACTGACGGTCCTGTTTATATAGCATCACCACATACAGGCGGTCTTACTTATATAGCATCACCACATACAGGCGGTCTTATAGAGCATCACCACATACAGGCGGTCTTGTATAGCATCACCACATACAGGCGGTCTTACTTATATAGCATCACCACATACAGGCGGTCTTATATAGCATCACCACATACAGGCGGTCTTACTTATATACCATCACCACATACAGGCGGTCTTACTTATATAGCATCACCACATACAGGCGGTCTTACTAATATACCATCACCACATACAGGCGGTCTTACTTACATACCATCACGACATACAGGCGGTCTTACTTATATACCATCACCACATACAGGCGGTCTTACTTATATACCATCACCACATACAGGCGGTCTTATATAGCATCACCAAATACAGGCGGTCTTACTTACATACCATCACCACATACAGGCGGTCTTACTTATATACCATCACCACATACAGGCGGTCTTATATAGCATCACCAAATTGAGGCGGTCTTACTTATATACCATCACCACATACAGGCAGTCTTATAGAGCATCACCAGATACAGGCGGTCTTACTTAAAAACCATCACCACATACAGGCGGTCTTATATAGCTATATCACCAAATTGAGGCGGTCTTACTTATATACCATCACGACATACAGGCAGTCTTATAGAGCATCACCCGATACAGGCGGTCTTACTTATATACCATCACCACATACAGGCGGTCTTATAGAGCATCACCACATACAGGCGGTCTTACTTATAGCATCACCACATACAGGCGGTCTTACTCATATACCATCACCACATACAGGCGGTCTTACTTATATACCATCACCACATACAGGCGGTCTTATAGAGAATCCCCACATACAGGCGGTCTTACTTATAGCATCACCACATACATGAAGGCTTACTAGCATCACACATACAAAGCGGAAGGTCGGTGGTTCGATGCCCGGCTTTGTACAAAATACGTTAAAAGATGGTACTTGTGGTTGCTCTGACTGGTCGGCTCGGAGTCGGTATACTGTGTCTGAGTTGGGTATTCATGTTAATCTGCGGCATAGTGTTTCAGTGGGCTAGCACTATAAATCGGCATTAGTCCGGACTAGTACAAGCAGCCACACACGCGTGCATGCACGTCCCCATATAAGTACAATATCCTTTAACGCGACGTCAACGCCCATTTTACCTCGCCTGAGCACCACATGCAGGTGGTCCTGCTTTTACAGCATCACCACGTGAAGGCGGTCTTACTTTTATAGCATCACCACTCACAGGCGCGGCGGTCCCCTTTAAATGACATGACAACATACAGGGGGTTCTGCTTATACAGCATCACCACGTGAAGGCGGTCTTACTTTTATAGCATCACCACTCACAGGCGCGGCGGTCCCCTTTAAATGACATGACCACATACAGGGGGTTCTGCTTATATATAATCGACACTCACAGGCGAGGCGGTCCTTCTTTTATAAGATCACTAGACACAGGCGTTGTGGTCCTGCCAATCGTAACTGGCTTCATCGTCATCGGTTACATATTCATAACATATTTACTTGCATTTTCTAGTGTTTGGCTATCTGTGCAACACATTGTCACAGTGATGTCGTGCGCGCGTCGTAATCATAGCCAACGTGACGAGACTTTCCATTGATTCGTTCAATATATAAATAGTGCATTGCACGAACATGGCAAATGCTGTTTCTGTAAATTGAAAAAAATGATGTGAAAATCCAAACTGTTACATATAGAACGTTTCAGGAAACTGTTAGCATAGACAATGATTGGTCCTCAACACGATACATGGAACGTTTAGAGAACATGATGATCAGTGTAAAGGGTTTTAATGCCGCTATTATTGAAAGGTTAAACATGCATGGCGTAATATTTTTCAGAGACCAGAGAGAAGCACATAGGTTATATCTATG